ATTTATCAGTAGTAAGTTTCCTATTATTACTATATATATGTGATATATATTGTCATATATATATATATATATATATATATATCATATAAATGTTTCTGCATTTTATATAATAATTCAATTTTATATTTTAAAGGATAATAATTGAATCTTATTTTTTAAAGGATTTAAAAGGATATCCAGATACACAAGGCAAAAATGAGAAAGTTAAGACTCTTATGGCTGAACTAGAGGTAAATGATAAAAAATATATATAAATAAAATAATAATAGTTTTTTTGTTATTATTCTTTATTTTTTAGAATTTGGATAAAGAGAATGAGATTCTTAAAAGGCAGCTAACAACATTGAAAGATGAGATGGAGGATGCAACAGAAAAGATGAATGAAATGACAGAAGAACTTCGTTCAACTCAGATAAAAGCTGTAGAATATAAAGGTATTCTCATATATAAATAATACATATTTTTACATAATTAATTTTATATGTTTTGATATATATTTTACAAAAATATACAAATGTTATATTATTACAGAAAAGATACTAAAATTGGAGCAGGAAAATGCAGCTTTGGTTAATCAAATTGAAGAACTAACAGCACAACAAATAGATAGAGACAAAATATTGGATGAATTTAGTATAGCTATTGATGCTAGAATAGCTGAATGGAAGGTATTAAATAGATTTGATATAATTTGTAGTATAGAAAATGAAAAGATATACATGAATCTCTTATTGACATAAGGATATATTGGACGAGAAAGATATGGAGATAACACGTTTGAAGGAAAATTTGTCGCATTCTTTAATGCAATCTACTACATCAGTTAAAGAAGAAAATAAAACACAGATTAATCAGCTAAATGATGAAATAGCATGTAGGGATGCGATTATAGTAGAATTGAAAGCTAAACTTTCTGAAGCAGTTGTTGAAATAAATGAAAGTGCTGCACTTATAGAAAAATTGAAAGGAGAGACACATGAGTAAGCGATATTTTCTGCTTATATTTTCAGTTTATATTTTCTGTTTATATTTTCTGTTTATATTATAATATTTT